TAGTACGATATAGGAAAGGTGTAGGGTGTTTAGAGAGATAGAGTAGAGAGAGACCTTAGGGGAAAGTGAGGAAGGGAAGAAGAAGCTCCCCTCGGTTTGGAGGCATGAATCTCCTTTTATAGGAGTCTTGAGCTTCCTTTCGTGGGCTTGGGCCCGTTAAGATGTGTGGGGTGATGGGCTTGGGTCCGTTGATGACGTAGTTGTTTGTCGTATTAGGCGGATTAATACCACATCCAACAACTCCAAATTCGAATAAACTAATTTAGGTGGACGAGAGCTAGTAAGAGAAGAAACAAAAAGGGAAGCTTATGGCTTTGCAATATTGGAAAGAAGAACTAGTGGAGACAGAGAACGTCGACAGGGTAGAAGCAGAACGAACCATAAGAGAAACTACTTCACTAGAGGGATGCCATGCCCCAACCATCGATGCCAACAGTAGCCAAAACTCAGAAGACTTGACGCACGCAAGAGCACGTCGTCCTTAGCATGCACTTGAAGAAAAACATCCCTCGTTGGCCAATCTTCCACCAAAAAAGAATGAGGAAAGAATTCAATGGAGGTATTACTAGTGTGAAAAATGAGGAAACATAAATAAGAATGGGAGTAACGAAAGGAGAATGAAGAAAATGAGACAAATTGAGAGTACGTTTGGGGAGGGAAAAAGTAGCTATGAGAAATTGCCAAACCTGTACCATGTGCAATGGAAATCATCAAGGTGGATGCACTATTGCGATAAAGAAGCGCTTCCTCATAATCAGTCAAATTTTCAAACAAATCATCATATAGAATAGTGACATCACGAGCTCGAAGAGCATCGATAAGTCCTTGACTCTATCTATGTTTGGGAAGAGGTGCAAAGGGGAGGGGTAAACATAGTTTTCAAGGTATTTGCATCTGTTTGGTTAATTTGTAACAGTAGGGGGTGCAAATCTACTATTTCGGCTTACCCCCCAAATTGGGGTGCAAGGGAAGAAAGGAAGGAAGGGGAAGAGGGAAGGGTAGAGGGAGAGGGAGAGGGCATATAAATTTATTCTTTTATTATAATAATAATTATTAATTTTTTTATTATAGTTATAACTTATGTAGACGAAGTTCGGGGTTGACCGTTTGACTTTGCGAGCAAGTTTGTCAATGTTCGTCTAGTCAAATCGATATTTCTTGGTTGACTCGAATTTGCATTGAAACTAGAGATGAACGGTTTACTTGACTCGGTTTACTTGACTAAATAGTTAAAACTTACAGATTCGAATGTGTTTGACTAAGTTTGACCATATTGAATTTAAAGTTAGACACGAGAACCCCCTTAGGATGACCAGTTACGAGTTGGGCTTCGAGCTTCAAGGTCGGTCGACAAATGATTATTATTGTTGTTATAATTAATTATTATTTGAGCATTATTATATAATAATTATTTTTATTTAAATATTTTTATTATTATAAATTGATTTATATTTTTATTATTTTGTGATAATATTTTATAAATTTGACAACTCAATTTTTCACTCTATTTGCACTCCCCTACTATTTCATCCAAACAACAATTTACCCCTCTACTCACCCCCCCCACCAAGTTGCACCCCCAACAATTTACCCCTCAACTTGCACCCCTTCGAACTTGCACCCCCTTATTGCCAAACATAGTGTGTAACTCTAGACCAAGATCATTGAGATCAGAAATTACCATATCACAGTGGCCGAGCCAGAAAATTGGCCAAAAGGGTGCTTTTCATATCATAAAATAATTAACTATATAATAAAAAACTCGAACTCTAAATGAAATAAAAGCCAACAACACAATACTCAAAATTCATACAATTACAAAATAATAGTTTGACGTACACAGTTTACACCGAACTGCGAAGATATTTCATATTTTTAAAGCATTCTATAACTCATTTTTTGTCCAAACTAGCACACAAACCTTGTTCAATATATTTCATCAACATGTCGTTCAACCACTAATCATTCATCTGGTTTAGAAAATAATGTTTGATATATTTCATTGACGAAAACGAACTATTGGCCAAAATTGGAGACCGAGGGGCTTGGACGATGCAGAGGATGTCGACTCTTCCTCTCTGTTGTGGATATCAGAGGTCGTGGCAAAGTACAGTTCTCTAACGTAAATAATAACGAAAACAAGTTGCATAGCAAATTTACTTGGCCGAAATGACAATAAAGTCTCCCTATAATAAAATAATCACCAGTTTGAGCCCACACAAATCTCTAATTGCTGAATTTTTTTCCAAACCCAAGGGTGCAAGCACCTCCACCTCCCCACATAGCTTCTTCATTGACCATATCGACGTTATCAACGAGCAACGATAACAAGAACATCAAAAAGCCTCTCAATCTGAGAGAGAGATAGTTGGAGATAGATTCTTTACCTTTCTGAGAGTTGGAGAGCTTCTTCTAGAGGGATGCAACTCGAGACTGCGAGCTGCCTACATAAAGATGTTCAAACTTGAGCCACGCATCACGAGAGAGTTGAAGCGACCAGCGTAAATTGGTCCGGGCAAAGCCAATGAGTATCAGTCAAGGACGTGGGCATAGTGGGAGAGGGGGAGGACCCATTGAAAATCCAATGAGACCACAGCCAAAAAGAAGAGAGTGAAATTGAAGGAGATGAGAGAAGAAGACAAACTAGACTCTCCATGAGAGGAAGAGACATGGAGCGAGGGCTCTTAAGTTTCTTATGACATAGCGGCAGAGAAAATAAAATAAAAAAGGGAAGTAGCTTTTAGAAGAGAGAAGGAAATATACATATTTGATTTTAGAGGAAAGGGGATAGTGATTTGTTTTGGAGAATGGAGACCAAGGATTAGATTGCATAGGTATGCTTGCATGAATATAGGCATATGATAGGGTGCATAATTATATTTGGGTTCTTAGATTTGAGTGGATCTAGAAAAGGCAGATCCAAGTAGGGCTACAAAACGGTGCGGTCTGGTCCAGACCATGGATCAGACCATATATATGTCTATGGTTCAGATCGAGAGGCTGAAATATAGATCATAGACTAGACCAAGACTATACGGTCCGGTCCAGACCACGACTAAGCGGTCTCGTTCGGTCTGGTCTGGTCCAGATAGACCACACTCAACGAAAAATGAATAATTTGTTTAGTCAACCACACAAAAAATTGAACCAATAACCAAGAAAAATAATTGTTATTTGCCTTAAAACATTAATCCTAACATGCATGAATAATTTTGATACCCTAAATCTTAGTACATAACAAAGATACAGAGTAAAAGCATCCCAACTTGCACCATAATGTCATAAACATTAACATAATGTCATATGGAGACACAATTAGCTCTACTCTCTGGTTAAATGTGGTTGTGAATGAAGGAGGGACGGATTCACAAACTAAGGTTGAGACTTGGGTGTCATTGTGGGAGTTGGGAGAGTGGTCGAATGAGATGCTAACACGTATTGACAAGTCGGTTGGGTCCACAGTTTGGTCCGATAAACCGCGGTCTAGACCAGACCAGACCAAGAGATCAAAACATAAAATAATACAGACCATGGACCAGACCAGATCATACTTAACGGTCTACGGTCCGGACCAAACTGTGCGGTACGATTTGGGCCACGGTTTTTCTAACGGTCTGGTCTATTTTTCCAGTCCTAGATCTAAGAGATAAGAATTAATGATTTTATTTTATTTTTCCTAGTTTTATTAATGGGCTCTTATCTTCTTAGTTTTAATTTGGATTTCAATATATTTTTTTTTTGTCCAGATGAAATGAATTCGTTATGATCTACAAAATGAGATCTATTTCAAGGAAAAAATTTCATACTACTCATTGCCACTTTGGTACCACAGAGTACCCACCTTTGTTTTTAACTAAAATTTTTAAAATTTTACACAAAAGAAACAAAATTTTCCTGATTTATTGGATCGACAAATTTATAAGAAAAAAATTCAAGACCAAAATGTACCATCTCATACCACTCTGGTATAGGGGTGATAACTAGTATAAAAACAATTATAAATGTGATGAATGACAGTTCATATATTTTTACTATCATGTACCACCTCATACCTGTACCACCTCATACCATCCTGCTATAGCAACGCCTCTTAATAGATTTTCGTTTACCAACAAGGCTGCTCATTTAGTGGATCAAAAGGTCCTTTCATCGATTGTTCGACTATTTGCGACTGCCGCTTTTGGTTGCTTGCTGTTCTCTATCTATTTGTTACCATTTTTCTATGAAAAAAAAAACGAACAACCTGCTCTTGTTTCTGTCCCACACAAAAAAAGAATATTTCACAAGGGGTCGTTTGGATTTGGAAATGTAATGCAGTAATTGGACCCAATTACCACATAATGCAGTAATTGGATTAAAAACCCACGTTTGGCAGAGCAAAAAGGGTATGTGAATTGGACCATGGAAATTGGCTCCAATTACCACATTCATTGTAATTGAGAATACTACATCTCCCCCTAGTAATTTGACATTACCACGTTTTCTTCTTTCTATTTCCAAATGTGTCCGTCCTCTCCTTTCTTCCTTACTCCTCCGATTTCGCCTAACTATTTCTTACAAGAGTAGCTCCTTTTTTTTCATTCATCAATGGCACCTCTTCTTCTTCATCTCCCCTCACCTTCGTATATCTCCTCTAATCCGTCGTCAATTTCTTAATTTTGGATTCGCTTAATTATCTCATTCACCGTCAATTTTCTTGCTTCTCCTCATTGAATTAGCATAAACACTTTTAATATCCGTATTTAATGAATTAAATTGTTAACTTTATTATAATTTATATATGAACTTATTAATCAAATAATTATATATTTATATATTTATGGCTTTTAATGTACTATTAAATGTATATTAGCTTAGAGATGAAGTAAAATAATCGTACGTATTTTATACGTAACTTTTCCATATCATATTTTTCTAACTATGCTTAAGTTAGCAACAATTAGTAGTTAGTATAATACAACAACAACCTTTAGGAGGGGTATATGTATATAAACAAAAGAGGGCATTTTTGTATTTTTACCAAATTCCACACCATCAATTCCCACAAAACTAAACCCTATCCAAACGTGGAATTTTGTTCAATTTCCACGAGTCAATTCCTTGGTTTTGTAAAACATGGAAATTCATACAAATTCCCACGTTTTCAAATTTCCACATCCAAACGACCCTAAAGTGCTCTCGCAAGTTCTTCAACTGAGGAGATGTCCTTTCAGATCCATTGTGGCAGTCAGGATCACGTACAAGAAAGTTCCCCAACAGCGGATACCAACCACTTAAATTACGAAATCAGATCGAACTTTCTTTGCTTCTTCCTTCACTGGTTCTCCTGCAAAATCATAAAAGAGACATGGTTGGATGCTTTTGATGATGAGCCAATACGTCCCCTAACTTGCACCAGGAGGACGACATACTATGATTGGGCAACAGATGTTAAATTTACCACTTGACAAAAGCCTGAACAGTAAACAGGAATAGGCTAATAAAACAATATGAAATCTAGATAGCTACAGATACAATACAAGTCAATCTATCACGCTACTCAACAAACGCAAACGCCAAGCATCCAATCATCCTCTTAATTGTAATTACCTCGCCCGACTATCTTTCCTTATAATCTTTCTACTGGGTGGAAAACTTAATCCAATGCTAAAAAGAGAAAGACGGGGAAAACCCAAATCAAGGCTTAAGAGCTACATGTTCCAACGGCGGAAGCACTTTCAGAGTAAACAGAGTATTGTGCTTCATCTATTGGCCCGGAGCCATCACTTCCGTAACTGCAGTAAGTTGTCCATAACCATTCTGGTCTCGAGAGATGATGAAAATGCAATCAACCTAGACTTTACCTTCAATTCATACCAATTACAAAGTAAACAACCATAGATTAATCCCGCGTCTCGTTCACTAGCATATGCATGTCAGCATGAAAGGGAAGAGGCTACATTGATCACATTTCGGAATGTAGTTAGAACTGACTTTCATGTTTGGATGGGTGAATCTAAGGCTCTAAGCACAGATTATCACCCCCTTTAGTGCTAGCTCCTGCCGATTCCTTTCTTTGTTCTTCAAACTTAAACAAGGCAAAATATGGGCAATGGTAGCGCAATCGGATTTCCGAAAGACAATGACCATCGTAAGAAAAACCCTAGCATTTTGCCGCTGGGCGGGAATGTCATAGAGAGAGGGAAAGAGGGTGTACCAGTTGGTTGAGGCGCGGGCGAGTAGCCGTAAATGGCCTGGAGTCTGGCGAGAGGGATGGAAGAAGATCCAGCAGAGGCTTCAGCGAAGAGCTGCTGCTTCCAGTCCCACATGGATTTCTTCATGGATTTATTGGAACTGACCAGCGACGCTTTTTCTGCCTCCAGAGCATCAAGTTGCCGTTGCTGGTAGCTTGATCGCACACCGAGAGCGACGAAGGATCCGACCAGGAAAACGTTTATGACCGTGTTGTTGTTGGCGGCTTTCATCGCCGCCGATATCACTCTGTTCGCCACCTCCATTTCTCTTGGCTTTGGCAGGGCAGGTGGAGGATGGAAGAGTAACAGAACCAACTAATCGTCTCGAGCTAAGGTTTTCCACAAGAAGACTCCGCTTGGGGGTAAATTACAGACTTTTCATTGTCAAAATTTTATGCTTCCCAGTTCAGTACCCTAACTCCTAGAATTTGTGATTAGGCCCAGAAAAGAAATTTGACTTTTGACTTCATCCGATTTTGTCCTAGTCCTACCCATGGGAATTCTGGTCCTCAAAATGTTTTTTACATTTACAAAGAGATTCGGCCAATACTACGGTGCCACCAATAAAAGTGCCGCACCGGTGTGACGCGACCCTTCATTGGTCCACGTGGATATGAGGTGGCGTTGATTTTGTTTAATTAATCCCAACCAAACCCCAGGTGGCCCGTTAGAACTTAGAAGTAGCCCAACCGGGCGAAAGGATTCTCCATAACTCCGTAACTCCGTTCAAGGTTTTGTTTTCGTTTTTATGTTAATTAATTAAATTAAAATTCATGTAACTGTTTTTTTGGCAAAATCAGAAAACATGGATCTACACCAAACGAAACAACAGCACAGTTCATCGATCTCCCTCGCCGGCGGTCTCTACAAAATCTTTCCCGGCGACTTGTCCGTCGTCGATCCCATCTCCCCGGTCTACCTATCGCCTGGATTGAAATCCCTCACTGCTCCCTCCGACATTGATTATGATGTTGTTCTCCCCTTCTCTATTTCAGTTTATTCTTTTCTTTCTCCTGTCTGGAGATGGTTGTATTGGCAGTGGCCTGCTGCATATTGCAAGGCGGGAGGGTATTTTCTTATCTGGAAGATTTCCGTTATTTGGTTGTTTGTTTATGCTATCTGCTCTGGCATTGATTCCAGTTTACCTTTAGATTGGTAGGTGGAGGGTAAGCTTAGCTACCGCTGACTTGAACTTCCTCCTACAAACATGATTCTTTCGTTGATGTCGTTTGTGAATCTGCTAGCTCTAGCATTGGCGGTTCAATGATTTCAGGGGTTGAGAGCAGGTGAGAAGCTTTTGATGTGCATTTTGGTATTGTTTTGCTTTCATGGTTCTTGAACAATCAGGTCAATTGAAGCTACTGAAATTTTTAGCTAGTTGTTCTTTTCTACATGACAGGTCTTAAGTGTATGCACTGAGCACTCATCAACACAAACGACTTCATAGAGGGCATCTAAACAAAAAGTTGGAAGTTTCCCCCAACTATTTCTGTTCTTGCAGATCCCTGGGCTGGTGAATGTGTCTTTACTGATGTGAGGAAATATTATGGTACTGCAATGCTTGGAATCGAGTTTCCTCCGGGAAAAACCTAGCAGGAGCAGCAGCTGAGCAAGCAACTTTGGCACGATAACTGGCGGGTAGGACATGCCCCTCTTAGAGCTTAGGGTGGCCCTAGCATTATTCACTATCTGCTCACACGTATTGTAATATGCTTGCTGCATTTTAGCTCATTTGGTATGGGCATTTGAAACATAATTATCTACATTGCCCGACTCTGTTGTTCACTACTCTCGACACAAACACAATGTTACACAATTAGACATGTCGTATCATGGTGCAGAGCCATCATGGAGGAGCTTGTAGAGTTTATTTCTTATATCTAACTTTCATGTAGGTGATTTCGTAAGTTATTTCTCTAATTCTGTGCTTGTTGTTTCCTGTTTTTGTTAGCTGTGGAAACCTAAGGTTTGTAATGACAAGAGATGAGTTTCTAAGGACAAATTAGAGAAGCAGGCATGACTGGTTTGCACTTTCTATCGAAAATGGTTGCAGTTGCAGGCATGACTGGTTTACATCAAGGCGGAGGGTGTTGAGATGCAGAATTGCGATGATCTGTTCCTGGAGAGCCCTCCAGTTGCTGTAGCTGTACATGCTCTGTATAAAACATAAGTTCGTTCTTCAAGGAGGAGGATAAGGGAGGCTAATTTAGGCATCAGTGGCCTACTTTGTTGGTAGATGAACTATAATTTAACAAATTATTGAGGTCTTTACATCAAACAACATGTAGTTTTGTATTGATGTTAACCAGTAAGTAGGATGAGAACCACCCTATTAATCGAGTTTCTTGTACTTCATTCTCAACAAAAGCTACATTTTGCTTTACACAGACAAAAAAAGGTACACCTCAGCTTCTCTCCTATCAAACTTGGTAGTCGTGGGCAACAGTACAGTACTGAGCATCTATCCTAGATGATAATGGTGTGAAAGGCTGAGTTATGGAAAAAGATCTATATACCTTCAGTTTAATTTACAGGCTTTATAATTGCAACACATTACACATGGGACATGATTTCTTTCTTTCTAAAGAGCAAACAACACTTTCACCCAAAAAAAAGAGCAAACAACGCCTTGCAAGTTGCATATCCTGTTTTCCTTCAAGCATGGGCTCTTCTCATTCCTCCATGATGAACAACGAACCAACTTTGGGTTTTTACACGATTCCGACAGTGGGATCGGGCGCGCAGCCCGAAAGGGACGACGCAGAGGGAAGGATCAGATCGTCTTGTACGGTGGCAGTAGAGCAGCTCGACCGAGACAGAGAGGAATCAGAGATTCATCGAATTGTTTTGCAGAATGAATGTAGGAGGAGGAACACGGTGAAGGAGTTTCAATTTTTTTTGCCTTTTCATTTGCTTTTTGTGTTCGCTTCTTGGAGAAATCAGAAATATATGCATTTAAAATTTAAACGAGTTTTAACTGAATAAATGAAAATAAAATAACGGCAAACGGTCGGGAAGTGGGAAGACGGCATATAGGTTCTCCGTCACTCTGGAGAGCTGCTGGTTTGGGCCGGTCATATGGTTTATTGGGTATGGCCTTATTTAATAAATTAAATCAGCGCCATGTCATGTACAGGTGGACGAATCACAGAGTACGGCACCGGTGCCGCATTTTTAATAGCGGCACTGTAGTATTGGCCAAGAGATTCTCATTTCCACCTCTTGCAACTTTTGATTTTTTTCAAAGACCAAAGTACACTAGTACTTAAAAGATTTCTTACAATAAACTAATTTTATAAAGAAAATGCCAATCTATACATGATTCTCTTTGATCACTATATACTCAAGCGATCTGCATCTTAATTGGTTAGGTCGAAAACGATATGTCTTTGATCGTTGAAGCAGAACGTGATCAATGTAGACTGTTTGTAATTGAAGCTATGCAAGCATTGATCTTCGTAATTAACAACAATGTTAGTCGTAATTAACAACAATGTAAGTTGAACGTGCACCCTTAATCGCTTAGAACAAAAGCAATATGGGATAGATCCCTTTGGTCTAAAACCATCAATATGAAGATCTCCTAGCCTTAAAGTGGCTGCACTTGCAATTTCTCAACCATGAGTTATAACTTATAAACTCAGGCACTTCTACATAGAACTGGTACTCGGTCGGTAACCGGTTTAAATGTTAACCGGATAATCGGTTAATGGTATTCCGAAATACACCAAGAACCCTTCTATATACTGATACTGGTTGATATCCAGTATACCAATTTACCAACTAGCCGGCTACCGATAAAAAATTTGTTATTGAACAATCAAGGATGAAGAGGGGCAAAATTGTTTCGGAGGGGAGACAGAGAAGGCAATCGTGTCCAACGGCGGAGGCCGGAGTCCTTGCCGTTCGACGTCTTTCTCCTTTTGGAGTGCCGCCATGTCTCTCCTCTCTCCTCTCTACACCTCTCTGACGACTGTCAATTGAAAATCGAAGATACCCCACCAGAATCGTCCTCGTCACCAGCTACCGGAGGCCCAAAATCATCCCCGCAACCAAAATCTGCCCACAAAGAATACGCGAAGGCGGTTCAAGTTCGTTATGATTCGAATGGGCTGGGATTCGCGGTGGTCGGTAGGGCTTTGACAGACGACAGCAACGAAGACACACCTCTTTGCGACATGCAAGTTGTTGGAGGAGACGGTGAGAGTAGCGATATGCTGTTGCTGGCCAATGATGAAGCTAATTGTTTCGTGGTTGTGGGTGATTAGGTGTAGATCTATGGGAGAGATGAGAGAGGAGAGGAAAAACGGTGAGAAAAGAAGAGAGAAGAAACTCAGAGGAATGGAGGTAACGTGGATGGTGGTTGTGGATTGGGAGAGGCAAGACATGGATTGGGGAAGAAGAGTTGCTTAGTTGGGGAAGAAGAGTTACATAGGGAGAGAGGGTTCACTCGCAGGTGAAAGGAGAGTGGGGAGGGCTTTCCATTTGCTGTGATTTAAGGGTGAGCGACGGTAATCTAGTATACCAGTTAATTGCCGGTTAATAACCGGCTACACTTTGGTATATCGAGTACTATTTTTTTTGCTATTGCATACCGGCATCGCCTGTTACTCGTTCGATATTCGGTTAAATCGTTATCTGGCTAATTGATTACCAATCCTACTTCTACTTTACCACTCCAATTAGGCCAACTATAACCTAATTTTGCGCAATAGTATAGTGGGCGACTAAAGTTGTATTCCAGGGGCCTTAGTGGCCTAGCATACTCGAGAGCTCTATTATTATCTATTCGATTCTTTAGGAGTTTTTGTTTGGAACTAAACTAATTAAACATATTAAACTAAATGAGATGCACAAAGAGAAAGATGATACTTAGGGTTCAGCTCCATCACCCTAGCATACGAGTAATGACATGCAATGGATAACATAAATTTCTACGACAATGGAGGCATGAGAGTGAATCAATGATAATTCCTACCCTCTTTAAATGAGTTTAACCCGTAAGCACACATCTCAAGTGAATCAATGATCATGTAGACACCAAAGAAGCATCTATTAGTTAAGTCCCTACTCAACCTCAGGAGATGTTCACCTCAACCTAGGTCAAGCCCTAAAATCATCATCACATGACATACAACATGCAAACAATATTCATATGCACACAAATCATGTAATAAAGCATTAGAATGCTAATTGAACTCAAATACCCCATACATTAAAGCATGCCATTCATTACACATAAAATACCTAGTTAGGTTTTGGGGATTTGGCCCCAAATACCTTACATTACTATCCCGCGAAGGGGGAAGAAAAACACATAAAAAGGGAAGGAAAATCATAAAAAGAAGTGCC